CAGCATTTTGAGGATCTCCAAATGTCCTGGTGTATTTTAGGGTCAACATGGCAGTGATTATATGAATGTAATAAACATTAGGTATATATAACACAGTAATAATGGATAAATACAAATATGATCTTCATAGAAAATGTATAAACAAAAAAATGTAAAACTTACCAGATATGCATGTGTATATACTCTGTATAGAAATATTCATTAAAAGATCCAGTGAAATAACATCTAGCCTGATCCAATGTTCAGCTGTTCAGAACTTTCTTGGAAGAAAAATAGCTGAAAATTAGTTTAAGTACTGAAATCCATAGGACCATACAGTTCATTACATGAAGTTTCCAGGGCTGAGAAAGTCTGTGTTGTTGTGTCAAAATAAGCAGCCACCGAGGCTGTGAAGGACTTATATGACGTTCTAATCAAGATTTGAATCGCTGCCATGTTTATGACGTCACAATGCAAAGGTAGCTGTGATTTGAATCGCTGCCAAGTCTGTGTATTCATATTCTTTGGTTTTTCCAGATTTCAGACCTCCGCTGATCTCCTATCTCAAATCGGGTTTTCCAGATCTCAGCCCCCCAAAATGCACTCCGTTGTCCACCCTATCCCCCAGGGCTAAAAGTGCACTCAGTTGACCCCCCTATCCCCCAGGGCTTAAAGTGCACTCAGTTGACCACCCTATCCCCCCAAGGCCAAAAGTGCACTCAGATGACCCCCCCCCCGGCCAGGCGTCTTACACTACTGTTGTCTTTTCCTTCCTTAGGCAATTCGAAAACCGGACCCCATAGAACTTCCGCGAACTGTACCAAAATAGCAAAAAAAAAATCATATCGTCTGTAAATACTGAAAAACAATGTGAATACCACAGGTGCATCAAATGGTACTATAGGATTTGTTGTCAAACTTGTCGTCATCAATTTTTAGGTGTTTATGGCTTTTTAGTGTTTCCCTATGTGACGTCATACATTTTACGGTTGCATAATTTTAAAACGTTGATTTTGGTGCATAGTAACTGACATTCTCATCTGACCAATTTTTGTCATTTTCGGTCAAAAAGTTTCGAATATTATGCTTTTCTCTGTTTTTTTATCCTTTCATTATAGAATATAAAACAGAATTTAAACTGAAAAAAAAATGAAATAATAATCAGTATAGAGATTCCTAGTGAAGAAAAAAATGATTTACTTTGATCATTTGAATTAATGATTAGTGTTTAAGAAATTTTTAATAACGAAAAAGGTGTCGAGAATACATTTTCGTTCACTGATAAAATAAAAAATCTTTTTGTCCCAGGTTTTTCTGGTGACCTCCGTCACGAAGTAAACGTTATTAATTGATAGTTTGTTTGATGATTGATTGATTGTTAAATGATCGATTGATTGATTGTTTGTTCATTTGTTTGCTTGATGATTGATTGTTTATGTGTTTGATTGATTGTTCATTTGTTTGTTTGATTGGTTGATTGATGATTGATTGTTTGTTTGTTTGAATGTTTTTTTATTGATTATTTGTTGATTAATTGATTGTCAACTCGTAAATTTACTACTAGATCATTAATCATTTGCAAAATTTTTATTTAAACACATTCTGATTGCGCACACAAGTACTTTTAAGTTAACATCAAATAGATGCTTGGGTTTCTTATTGACATTATTTATATGGTTTTTGGAAACCAGGTCTTCTAACAATCTACTATTATTTGAATTCCAAATTGCGTTCCGTTATTAGCACACCCATTTTTGTTTCATATAAAGCAGAAATGTGTGCAAAATCTTAAATGTGAAAAGAAGAAAACACTTGCTGTGGACTTCAACTCAACATTTAGATATATCTACGACGTACTGTCAATTAGCAATGGTAATTTCCATTGCTATGTCGATATGATATACCGGTATCCTGGCGAGCTTGATACAAAAGATACCATAGAATCTGATTCATCTGTTTCATACTTGAATTTTTTACTTGAAAAAGACGTTATATAGAAAACATAAAAATAGAAATCATATGGCAATATGTTTGACTTTCTCTCATGATTTAACCTTTGATAAATTGATTACAGTTTATGTGACCACTTTTCATCGCATAGTTTCATTGTGAGAAGCTGAAGAACAGGGGCTATTCGAGACAGTGCGTTATAATTGAATGGTAAAGAATCTGTAAACTGAAGTGAAAATAAACACTTCGTGAAAGCTGCTGTAAAACTTGTTAAGAATCACACAAAAATAGTCACTGAATTATGTCAAGTTTACAGCAATCAATGTATGTTTATCAACGTTCGTCTGAAATTCAAAGAGATGGTCAAACTTGAATCCATTGCTCTAAGCCCTCAAAACAAATTTACAATAAGATGCACTTGACAAAAACAGCCAAGGTTTGAGAAAAACAATGAATTGCAAAAACACAAAAACAGTTTCATATGCCATTTTCTTAAGTATTATTGATATTATTGTTCAAATTCTTATTCGGGGGAAATTTCAATTTCTGGAGAAGTCTAAAAAGCAATTTTTTGCCAAAAAAATCGAAAGGTTTACGAGAGGTGGGAACCAAATCAGGAATCCACTCCATTAAATTTCTTCATGACAGCGTCCAAACCTGAACACCCCATGAAGAATTGATGAGATTTTAGGATAAAGGGAAAGTTAATGTTATGTCATACCAACAATATTTGCCAGATCTTTCACCATTTAACTTATTTCATTTTCCAAACTTGAAAAAAAGAAAAAAAACTTCAGGAAATCATTGGATCTGCCATATTCCAGTATACAAAGGGTCATACCCAAATATGCGTTCTAAAAAGAATCATGAATTGGAGAAAAATGTAACGGACAGGTGTTTTCAATGAAAAGAGAATATTTATAAGATCATTAAAGCAAATTCATGGAAAAGCGTTTTTTGCTTCTTTCGGAGCACCGATGACATTATTTATTGAATACCCCTCGTATGCAGCAATAATTCATAAGTGTGTAATGCCTTACATTATAGGCATATATTTTATTATGAAACACAATTTTCTGGGTTTTTTTTCTGGCTGGAGGATCATCGTAATTCTGTTCTACAAACGAAGTGAAATAGTAGGGACTGTCTTTAGTCAGACTGCTGTTCAGTTTAAACCTGATCTAGAAAGATAATTCTATGGATATCTGAATAAAATGGCGGTGAAATTTTATACAATAGAATTTGGTTTTAAAGAGATGGGATTCTGAAAATTAATTACTTACTTTTCTGTCGGTGTCGCAGCCACCTTCACTGGTCAGAGTGAGAAAATTAGTTCTTCTTCAAATTATTTAACTCTATGGATTTTTTTCATATCCAAAAAAGAAAGATAAATATATTAATCATAATCTAATCCAAACATTGAAATTAACATTATTAAATTGCTCTAAATAATACTAAGTTGAATTATTCTATGGACCTCGAACCCTTTTTCTCCGATATAAAATTCTTGTAGTCTCTAGATCTTAATATCTAATCTGACTTGTTTATTTCGATAAAGGGTTTTAAAGGTCAAAATGATTCTGTCTCCCATCTTCAGAAAGGAGATTTTTTTTTAATTTTTATATCTGAGTTTTTTGTTAAATAAACATACTCTTGCTTAATTTTGAAATTTATTCGAATAAATATCATGAGGTTTCGCGAAAAACATAAAATTTAAAATTAAAATTACTTTTTAAAATTAGATAATAATACTATTTTTTTTATGTATTCGGTCATTTGATTTATTTTAAAAGAAATATAAAAGAAATAAAAATAAAAGAAATATTAATAAATTAACAATTAGAAAATATAATTCTTGCAACTCATAATATTTTTAACGAGCATAAACTGACTCACACAATAATTTCGCTGTTAACATTATAAAATTCAAACACTGATAAATAAGCATTCATACTATGGGTATCAGTTTATGTTTACACTTTTGAATTTATTTTAAATTACCAGCTCTTTAATTAATAATAATTCGAAACTTATCAAAATTCGGAACAGGCCAAACGATTTTATTTTACTAGTTTTGAAAATTGCTTTATCAAAATAAATCGTAAAGTATACCAATCCAGGTTAAAACCAGTATACCTTGAAGCTATTGAATTCGTAATTGATAATTTAAGTCATTCTCATTACGTGTAGAAAATAAGATTATTTCTCATTGAAAAGCTGTACATGTTGCATATATTTTAAATGTAAAGCCATTCTTCGTTTTTTCTGTGTTTAGCGTCCCAACTTTAGTTAAAAACCTTACAACCGAATCACCCCCCCCCCCCCGAATATTGTACAATTTATACATAAATGAGATCACAAAAACGTACCTTGAAATCCACTTGCAGGTTAAACGTTTCTGTCACGTATAGGCAACACATATATTATACATTTATTGCATGATAGTGAGGGAAATATGAAGACCTATTCAGCCAAGAAGAATCATATTCCCAAAGGGCTTCGCCCGAGGGGAATATATTTCTTGGCTGAATAAGTCTTCATGTTTCCCGAACATTCATGCAATGAATTGTTTATTTTACCGAAACAAGCAAAACCTTTGAAATAAACATAAGCTTTCAAATTCGGCACCGCTTTCAAATTAACTTTCATTGTTAACGTGATCACCAGTTTTGTGACGTAAACCAGGCTATAGACCGTTTCACGGTAACTGCGGTACTGCTCTTTTGCAGGGCAAAATGATATATATTTTGGTGAAATATGACGTAAAAGTAATTGTTTAAAATACGTCATTTAATTATCTATCAATAAAACACCGCCAAACGTTATTATTTTGCCCTGCAAAAGTGTAGTACCGCAGTTATCGTGAAGGGGCTAATTGTGACGTCTACTTCTCTCGGGAGTTTTCGTTCAACGAACGAGAATTATATTGCGGGAAAATGAGGTGGAATATGATGAAAAGCGTGCCGGAAACGGGAAATATGAAGTTTTACGGCCCGATCAAGTGATAACTTAGAACCAATCAGATAACGCGTTGTTTAGAATATTTTTTAATGAGGTATAATAATATATAACATATTTATCAGTTTTACAAAATAACATCCAATCAATGGAAGCTATTGAATTCCATTTCAATTAAATTTAAAATTATTTGAATTTCCCGGTATATGTACTGATGTACACGCAATAACAGTAAAGCAGGAAGTAAATACCTCAGACGATGTCGTAGTGATAAGTGCAGTGTGTGCGAGGACAATTGGCCGCCATTGCTCGTTGATACCGATGAATGGAAATCAGGTAATAATTTCACGAATATACAATCCCAACACGTACTTTTTTCTATATCATTTAAAGAATATACCTGTCCAGTGATCTATATATCATGAACCAAGCAGACATGCATAATTTTATATGACATTTTTAAATAAATTTTCTTATTATATCACAAATGTAATAATTAACTTTCGCTATAAACCCTGAAAAATGCTGAGTCACACTGGAAACAGTTATGTCTCGCCGGAAACAGTTATGTCACCCCGGCGGAAACAGTTATGTCATTCTTTCGATCACCTTCACGTGTTTTTACGTTACGCATTTTAGATCGGGTTCGAGATTTTATGACGTCGGTTGCTTTGCAAAAGTAAACAACACAGCGTATTTCTTAGCGTCAAGAATTAAGGCATTTTTGGATTATTTGTGTGAATTTTATCTATTTTGAATGATTTTAAATTTTCTTTTAATTTTAAAAATGTGATATAACATCACCACATGGCTAACATGCTAACCCCATCCTTTCCCTTTGTAGTGTATTGAAATAAGGATAATGTTGTATGTCTGAGTAATAACAAGAATAGATATGGGTTACCTCATATCCAAAGATGTTCGATTTTTAGATTTTTAAAATATGTTTAACAGTGTATGTATAATGACTTTTATGGGAATAAAATGCGCTGTCTAAGTTATATGTAAATTTTGTGAGTCCGTAGCATTACGCTCAAAAAGTCTCATAACAAACAGTGCACATGTTTACCTGTGTCCGCAAGACGGAAAATTTCCTGGCATGTAAAGTATCAGAATCATAAAAAAGCCAGGAAAACGTCAGATTTTTCGGACTAGTGAAATTTCCTGGCATGTAAAATATCAGAATCGTAAAAAAGCCAGGAAAACGTCAGATTTTTCGGACTAGTGCGAGCAGAATCCGGCCAGGGATTGAAAATTCCGTCATTTAATAATACACACACAGAATGATTCATTTTTTTCTCTAAGAGGAAACTATTTGATAATTAACGAACAATTAACATGAACTTAATACATGTACTTATAGTATAATCAATTCATCGGTGAATAGATATCAATCGAAGAATTCATGACCTACATATTCTCTGTTATCAAATGTTTGTAAAAAAAGGCTGAGGAGGGAGCGAGCGTAGGAATATTAATATTTTTTATTTGCATTTCGGGGGGAAAGTGCATGATCTTTAGAGAAAAAAATTTACGTTAATTTTGGTTTCTTTTACGTATGACATACACAGCATTATTCTTATCATGAACCAATAATGTTGTAACTCACTTATCGTGATGGAACTATTTTCGTCGGAACAATTTGCGTGAGTCGCCGCCGACTACAGTAATAATCTTGAACTGATAGTAAGCACTGATCGATTATATTAAGAATGGTTCTAAAAGAAGTTTAAACCTTAACCCTCCCGCAAAGTTTTTTTTTAAGAAAAGGGAACCATGTTGAATTCAGTAAAGGGGGAGACAATTTAAGTGGGTTAAACACAAAAGTCTAACAGTCACACATCAGCTAGTTGTTTCGTGAAAAATTATTTGAAAACTGTGTAAAAATATAATGATGGTAACTTTATATCATATTTATAGAGTGATGGTGACGAATAATGACCCCCATCGAATAATGACCGGGGGTCAAAAATCACCACCGGTCATTATTCGACGTTGAAAAATGACCCTTTTGTCCGTAGAAAAAGTGTCACTTCCCTAAAATTTGCAGAACCCACGTGAAGAAAAATGACCCCCGTAGAAAAATGACTCCCTGTAGATTAAAGCTGAAATTTTTAGGGGGCAAAAAAAATTTAAATAAAGAAGCATATTGGCCAAAATGCTCACCTGAGTTAATTGGGAATAAATTGATGATATGTTAATTGATCTCATTACATTATACAATTATAGCTTTTTGTAAGGTCAATGCGATGATTCAGAATCTAAAGGAGTAAAAGAGTAAAAGGAGTAAAAGATTTATCGAGCCTAAAGGGTTAGGTAAACATTGTTTTTCGATAGTGGAAATCATCGTAATGACAGAAAAAAATCAGCAGTATTATATATTATTATATAATACTGCTGATTTTTTTCTGTCATTACGAAGTCAATATCAACAAAAGCAACCAAAAAATACCATACCTTTATTTTTCCATAAGGAGGGACTAAAATAAGCTTAAAATAATCTACTATTCTACTTATTTTCAACTGTTACTCTGCATGTATAGGATTGAACATATAAAACATATACAGCATAGAGGAGTCTGTTTCACATTTCTACTTTTTCCCAACAAATATTTTTTTCTGAAACAACGTATCAATGGAGTCAATAAAGTAAAAAATATATACAAAGGAGCCTCATTTATCCGGAAACTTTGGTTCCCAATCAATTTGTTCGGATATGTGAGGCGTCCGGATATCTGAATTACCAGTTAAACAAGACAAATTAAAATAGCGTTTAAAAATTCCTTCCGATGAAAAGTCGTCCGGATACTGAAGCATCCGGATATCTGAAGGTCCACTGTATTCATAAATTTCATCTCTAGCGTGCGTTTGATCCATTTACATGTACCATAACATGATCTTCTAGGTTTGTTCCTTTATCAGAGAAACGCGAAAATCAATTGCTTAAAACCGATTTGTCAATATTTCGGCAGAGAGAAATGAGGAACTTTATCACCCCCTACATGCTAAGAAGAAAGATCAAATCTATTCAAATGCATGAATTACTCGAAGGAAGAACACTTACAATATACAGCATATTTTTCCCTTTCACCTGTTATAAATTTGTATCACTTTAACGAGGCTGGGGTGTGGCAGCCATTTTCAGACTATTTTTATCTCCTTTAAAAGGAGAGCTCCATATGAAGATATAGAAAATGATCAAATTTTAAAACTAAAATGTATGAATTTTTTCTTTGTGAAATGATAGTAGACAGCTTAAGTTACCGTATCCTAAAAAAATAAGTTAAATCTGGTGGTTACTTTGTGATTAATTTGTTGAACCCCTTAAAGGGGTTCATTTTTCAATGGGGGTCAAATTTTTATAGGACTAACATATAAAATAATGACCCCTAGGACTCTTTTTCTATAAAAAAAAAAATGATTTTTTCCTACGGGTGGGGGTCATTTTTTTGTCGTTGAAAAATGACCCCCGGTCATTAATCGATGGGGTCATTATTCGTCCTTACACAGGCGTGTATTTGGAGATGTTTTATTATTTTTCCCGTAATGTCACAACATACCCGTTTAAACCACTTTAAGGTGAAAAGGGTGAAAGAACAGTGATGGCGTTCTCACACGCTCAATTGATGAGCAATATAAGCATTTTATTTTTTAATCTAATTTTGTTGGTTGATTGTATTTTATCTCTTTTTTTAGTGTAAAATAAAATGGATCCAAGATGTAGTGTACAAGACGTGCTACATTGTGAGGTTTGTGAAACTGCTGAAGTTAAGCATCTCTGTGATATTTGTCATGTCAGTCTCTGCAAAGCCTGTGTTGGAGAACATATTTCTGATGGCTACGACAACCACAAAATAGTTTCTTACGACTCCAAGAAAACATCTCCAAAGTTTCCAGACTGCAAGGTCCATGACAACACTAGATGTGATATGTATTGTGAAGACTGTGATCTACCAGTGTGTTTAAACTGTATAATCTCTGAAAAACACAAAAGACATGGATTTAGAAGTTTGTATGAAGTATTTAAGTCTAAACAAGATTCTATAGAAAGTGACTTGGATAAAATGAAAAACATATTATTCCCTACCTATGCTTTTATTGAGGAGGATATCAAAAACAGGATGATATCTTTAAAGGAAGAATATGAGGATATAATACAAGGAGTGGAGAAACATGCAGAAGAGTGGCATAGAGAGATAAACATCGTCAGAGACATCTTCAAAAGTCAAATAATCAAAATGAGAGATTCACAACTGCAAGCTTTAAAGGTCAATTTACAAGACATTGAGAAAACAATTTCAGAGATAGGTGAAGCGAAAGAAGAAACTGAAGATATTCTTCTCTCTCACAGTCTATCACGGTTTAGCGAGTTTATTTCAAAGTCCGAAAAGTACAGTAAGGTACCGCAAAAGCTCGTTACTGTAAAGCCAATGTTTGTGTCTCAAGATATTCATAGCAACGACCTATACAAACAATTTGGGATTTTGACAAAGTCCTATGTTAAAGAAGAAGATGAATATACGCTACAAACCCCTAAAGATGAAAGAGTTCTCCAAGAACCTGTCTTGAAAAATGTTATCAATACAGGTTTCAAAAGACTTCGTAGCTGTGCTGTTGGGAAAAAGGATGAGGTCTGGGTTAGTGGAGAGGGTAGCAATATAAACTGCTTCAACACTCAGGGTCTAAAACAAAAGACAATTGATACCAAATTATGCAAATATCCTAATGATATAGCTGTCACAAGAGATGGTGACATTGCTTATTCCAGTGGAATATCAAAAACTGTTTATGTTGTGAAAAATGGCAAAGAAGAAAAGTTGATTAATTCTTTTCATTGGCATCCATTAAACATTTGTTTTACATCTTTGCTTGAACTATTGGTTGTAGTAGTTAGTGCTGATAAATCTCAGACAAGAGTAGACCGCTTTTCGGGATCAGTGTTGCTACAATCAATCCAGTTCAATGATAATGGGCAACCTCTTTATTCTTGCGGCAAGCGAGTGAAATACTTAACAGAAAACAAAAATCAAGACATCTGTGTGGCTGACTGCGATGCAGCGGCAGTCGTTGTCGTCAATCAAGCCGGAAAACTGCGATTTAAATACCATGGTCTGTTAACAGGAATGAGTAGGGAATTCCGACCTTTCGGTATTGCTACTGATGCTAAAGGTCAAATTTTGATAGCGGATCCAAACAACCATTGTGTTCATATTCTTGATAGCAATGGTCAGTTTCTGTGTGTTTTATCTAGTTTTCTGGAGTGTCCGTTTGGTTTGTCCGTTAATGCAGGTTCCGAACTCGTTGTAGCTGAGGGGAGAAGTGGAAAAGTGAAGATAATTAAATATTTATCGTAGACATTTATTTAAGGAAATAAAAAAAAATTGAAAAGTCCCTATAGAAATTAAAATTGTATTTCTGGTAGTTTGTGGTGGTTTCGAAATTACTTTAAAGATGCATTGTTTGTATTGAAGTATATGAAAGCAGCTACTAAAACACGTTCTCAGAGATAGCAGAATTTGAAGGAGATAAAGACTATAGAACTTCTCGTAGAGTCTTGAAGGAACTGATGGAATATTTTTTGCAATTAAAAATGTTTGAAAAATTTCCTGCTGACGTACTCCTGGGTAATAAAGTTCAATTTGTATGATCAGTAAAGCATGCTCAAAAGTCCACTGTAACGAAGCAAATTGTCAGCAGAGCATATACAGACCAACGGACTTTTACGAGAAGCGCTGACTTTTACGGTTGACGAATTACTCTCACACTAGGACAGCGTATAACGGGCTATTTCAAAGCACAAATAAGATGTCCTTGAAGAAAATGACAACCATCCTACCCTAAAATCCAGGCCTTCACATACAAGTGCCCCTAACACCATTACCATGCCCATTAGAAAGGTTTTCTTTTCCAGTATAATTCTGTACCTCCGTAGATGTGAATGTTTAAATGTCCAAGGAAACAGTCACCAGTACTGTAAAAGTCAGTGCTTCTCGTAAAAGTCCATTTATAAAAACATGAGAGAAGAGATCAGGTGTTATGGAAGAGTAACCTTTCCCTTTCTATCAGCTAACATTTTGTATAATAGGTGTCAATCAACTTTAGACTTAACGACAGTCTGCAGCAGATGAAAATCAAACCTGTCACTTTATTTTATGGTTGGGTGACATTCACTGAACAAATTAAAGTCCTTCCATCCGACCATCAAAATTGAATACAGGAAGAAGAAAAAGTTTGATTTTAATCAGACTGACTTATGCCCTAGTCACATTTCCTGGCCGTGGCAAGTGGAAATCAGTGGTAATCCGTGGCATGAGCGATACCCCAACATCTGTCCCCATCGGCTTAGTAGTCCTTAAAGTATTAGCCACATTATCCAGCGAGGTAACGGGTTTGTTCGCCCGATCTACCTGTTTGCAGGAATCCGTTTGTGCTGAGTTCGGTCTCCCAATATCTTGTTCACCCTGTATTTGGTTCGCCCAATACTTATATTTACTCTTATTTAAAAATTACGTAATTAAAAAATTTATATATTACCATATATTATTTCATGTATTCATTCTATTCAAAATTTCTTTAAGAACTCGGGATTTTTTTTTCCATATTCTGATACAAAGAATAATGTTTTTTAAAAATTTTAATTAATTACTTTTTAATTTGATTCCTATGTTTTTGAAGGCTTTAGTGTTTGCATTATAGTAAATTAGACGATTAATATGAATAACATCAATGTTAATTAGGGGGATACATCCGTGTTATTTTTACGAATTGCGCTATGTTTTGAAAACAGTTAAAGGACTGAGACGTTAATGGGTCCATGATGGAACTTAACATCGGATGATGAATGTTTTACCTTTAAAGAATTTCTCCGTTTGATTTTTTTTTTACAAAAAAGTTATGGGAAAATGAATTAAATCCTTTTTTATATCAAATAAGCGAGTGGACCCTATGCAAACATGTTGTAGGTCGAGCGGACTCTGGGTGAACGGGAATTTGGGCGAACAGCGTCATGGGCAAACGAACATATATACAACCATCCAGCGATGGGGTATACGATGGGCAACCAATGTGTTTTTTTTAAAATAACGTGGTTACCTGTCGGACTTACAACTTACAGCGATGCATTGCTAATCATAAAACTATGTTCCAGGGTAATCAGTCGGTGTACATTACATCGATCATACTTTGGTGAACATCGTTTGTATGTCGGTCGACTATAAGCCAATGTTTAGTCGAACATCGACCGATGATCCACCGAAGTCTGTTGCCCACCACTCAACCCTCACTCACCCCGATTATCTCAGATTCATCGGACACTTGTGGATACTCAGCCATTCATCTGCTAATGCCTAGGTCACATTTCCCGGCCGGTAGCCGTAGACCGGTGGTAATCGGTAGTAATCCGTGGTGTTAACGATGCCCCAACATCGGTCCACATCGGACAAGTAGTCCTTAAAGTATCAGTCACATTATCCAGCGATGTGCATACGATGGGCAACCAATGCGTTTTATGATAAAAATGGCGTGGTTGCCGGCCGGACTTACAAAGGCCCAGCGATGCATTGCTAATCATAAAATGATGTTCCAGGATAATCGGTCGATGTATATTACATCGCTCATACATTGGTGAACATTGTTCGTACATCGGTCGACTACGGGCCAATGTTTGGTCGGACATCGACCGATGATCGGTTGCTATCTGTTGAACACCACTTAACTCCCCGATGACCTCAGATTCAACGGATATTGGACGATGCTCGGCCATACATCGGCCGATCCTTGAAAGATGTGTTAATGATTGATTGCCGATGAGGAGCGATGTGAGGTATCGTTGGAGACATCGCTGAATTTTAACTACGAATTATTTCCTACTGATGACCCCACCGATTCGCAAAAAAGACTCAGTCACCGTCCGATCACTAGTGGTGCCCAGCCGGCAACCACGCCATTTTCATCAAAAAACGCATCAGTTTCTCATCGTATACCCCATCGTTGAACAATGTGACTTATACTTAATCCTTGAAAGATGTATTTATGATGGTTTGCCAATGAAAAGTAATTAATTGAATTGTCTATGCATTTTCCCGTTTGCCTAACGTATCAGTCACATTTTCCAGCGATGGGGAATACGATGAGAAACCGATGCGGATTTTTATGAAAATGGCGTGGTTTACGACTGGACACCACTAGTAATCGCACGGTGACTGAGGCCACTTTGCTAATCGTTGGGGTCATCAGTAGAAGATAATTCGAAGTTAAAAATCAGCGATGTCTCCACCGATGCCCTACATCGCTCCTCATTGGCAACCCATCATTTACACATCTTTCAAGGACTGGCCGATGTATGGCCGAGCATCGTCAAGTGTCCGTTGAATTCAAGATCATCGGAGGGTTGAGTGGTGGGCAACAGCATCGGCCGATCATTGATCTTTGTTCGACCAAACATTGAGCCATAGTCGACCGACGTACAAATGATGTTCACCAATGTATGAGCGATGTAATATACCTCGGTCGATTACCCTGGAACATTGTTTTATGTTAAGTAATGCATCGCTGGCCCTTTGTATAAGTCCGGCCAGCAACCACGCCATTTTTATCAAAAAATGCATCGGTTGCCCATCGTTTACCCCATCGCTTGATAATATGACTGATACTTTAAGGACTACTAGACCGAAATGGACCGATGTTTGGGCATCGCTCACACCACGGATTAACATCGATTAGCACCGGTCTATGGACATCGGCCGGGAAATGTGACCTAGGCATAATCATGGCAAGGAGCACATTGTTTACAGAGGATGCTTACTCTTCCATGGCTTAAATGCAAATTTTCGCAAATTCTAAAGATAACACCATGGCCATGTTTGCAAATGCTATATCCGTCGTTAAAGTATCAGTCACACTATCCAGCGATGGGGTATACGATGAGAAACCGATGCTTTTTTCATAAAAACGGCGTGATTGCCGGCCGGACACCTATTATAATCGGACGGTCACTGATGCCATTTGGCAAATCGGGGGGGGGGGGGTTCATTGCTACATAAGTTGTAGTTTAAAATCAGCGATGTCTCCATCGATGCCCAACATCACTCCTCATCGGCAACCCATATCTTTAACACATCTTTCAAGGATTGGCCAATGTATGGTGAATATGTCTCCGTCGAATCTGAGGTCATCGGCGAGTTGAGTGAAGGGCAACAGGCATTGGTCGATCATCGGTCGATGTTCAACCAAATATTGGCCCATAGTCGACCGACGTACGAACAATGTTCACCAATAGCAATGTATGAGCAATGTAATATACATCATCCGATTACCCTTCACATGGAACATCGTTTTATGATAAGCAATTCATTACTGGGCCTTTGTAAGTCCGGTCGGTAATAACGCCATTTTTATAAAAAACGCATTGGTTGTCCATCGTATACCCCATCGCTAGATAATGTGACTGATACTAGGTCGATGGGGACCGATGTCAAGAGACATTGCTCACACCACGAATTACCACCGGTCTACGGCCACCGGCCGGTTAATGTGTCTAGGGCAATAACTGAAATAATTTAAACGGAACCGTTGATATTCTTACATCAACATCTGATGTCTTGAAATATCAATGGATCCCTGTTTACCTAAATGACCCTCCTGTACATGTTTGATGTATGCAGATGATATTCTTTTATTACCGGGTTTCTTCCTCGGCAGAATATTAAAATCCAAGCTAATCATCCATCAGAAATACTGCCTAAAGTATCAGTCACATTATCCAGCGATAGGGTAACGATGAGAAACCGATGCGCTTAATTTTTTATGAAAATGGCGTGGTTGCCGGCCGATCACCACTAGTGATCGGACATTGACTGAGGCCATTTTGCGAATCGGTGGGCTCATCGGTAGGAAATAATTCGTATTTAAAATTCAGCGATGTTTCCAACGATGCCTCACATCCCTCCTCATCGAAAACCGAGCACCGTCCAAAATCCGTTGAATCAGAGGTCATCGGGGGGGGGGGGGGGGTGAGTGGTGTTTAACAGATAATGGCCGATCATCGGTCGATGTTCGATCAAACATTGGCCCGTAGTCGACCAATGTATGAAAGATGTTCATCAATATATGAGCGATGTAATATACATCGACCGATTATCCTGGAACATCGTTTTATGATTAGCGATGCATCGCTGGGCCTTTGTATGTCCGGCCGGGAACCAAGTCATTTACATGAAATAAATTGCTTGCCCATCGAACACCCATCGCTGGATAATGTGACTGATACTTTAAGGACTACTAGGCTGATGTGAACCGATGTTGGGGCATCATTAGCACCAGGGATTAACATCGATTACCACCGGTCTACGGCTACCGGCTGGGAAATGTGACCTATAGGCATAAATTGGCGACTTATCCTATAAATCTACAGAAAACAACGATTGTGGCCCCAGGATCATGAAACATCTTAAGTTTAACTCAAAATATTCATGTGGTGCTAAAATTTTGATTTAGTAAAGTAAACAATTTTTTTTTTAATTTTTAATGTCGCTTCACAAAAGTGTTGTTATCTGCATGAAAATTAGAGATTCTTTCAATATTGGTAATTAATAAACAATTTGCCGGCGATTAAAAATTTAACTTAAGTCTACCCGGGTAATTTTGTTTCATGATCCTGTAACCTTGTCTTCAACAAAGCCGGTACAGACATATCAAACATACACGGAAACATGTGAAAGACATATCTAGTTAAAGATTTGTATACATTCTTTTTACCGCTCAGATACATGTAGAGAGAAGAGGGTAGATACCTAGAGTGATTGTTACTTAAAAATTCTAGATTAACTATTATTGCTAACCTACGGTGTCATGTAAATCTATCCAATTTTCACAAGGACTTTTTCGTCTGTGAGCTATGGGGAAATTAGCTTGGTAGGATTTTCTATTGTAATGCTAAATTGGCAAAGAGAAACCATTTTGATTTTTAAGGTTGAGATGTTTATTGTAGAGTCAGAAGATAGAAAGTGAATTTGCTAAATTCACAATATATCCGGATTGTAATACTTAGTTTTAAATTCTCTGAATTCTAAAACTTTAATGTAACACAATACCCAGTAAAAACTCCTAATAAGACCGGGACCAGGACCTCCACTGGGATTTGCAAGGTTATTAAATTTGTATACTAAAGCAAGAAAAAAAAGTAACCTTGGACCACCCCTTCTGAAAACGCAGACCCCCCCCCCCCCCCCCCCCGATAAACGCGAATTTGTGTTAAATTGGTATGAAAAGTCAAAGGTTTGAAGCAATAGAAGTCAACGACTACCCCCCCCCCCCCCCTTCCCCCTTCAAGAAATTTCTGGGTTGGATTTTTTTTTTTTGGACTGGGGTAGACCCCCCCCTTGGAAAAAATTTCTGGATCCGCGCCTGACCAACTTGCGCAACCCCCCAATTTATGCGCTGATAAATTGTATTTCTACGCTGCGTATAATAAATCGAACCAATTAAACAAATTTATATTTGTCATTCAATTTTCACATTAGGTCACTCATATGATGGATTTACTTTATTTTGCTTATTTTCTGAGATCATGATTTTATTTCGAATTCTATGCAAAAAATTGAAAATGAGGCCGGGATACGTTGAGAAATGTGTAGACAGATTAGGAAGTTAGCTTCAACATGTTCATGTGTCCATTTAACACCCTTTCTGAAGCTAGATGTATTCATGGTATTCGATGGCGAGGATATTATAATTAATTGCGGCTAATTTAATTTAAGGTTCTATATATAGATAAAAATAGCCTTTCGATTTTCTTTGTAATAAATGAATTAGATCACAAAATTCAATGAAAATTGAGAAATGTGCAAATGTTTTTAACGGATTAAAATGAAAGGTATCGCTTTATACAGCGCAAGTTTTGCGCTTTATTCGACATGAATATACTACGTCTCTCCCCCCCCCCCCCCTTTCCCCTTAACGGCATCGCTGCTGATATATCGATTAGATGCACTAATTCCATCGTGCTCGAAAAAGAATGTAGCATCGAAAGTACCAAAGTTATGAATATTTGAAAATTCAAAGTGACTGAACAGTTTTTGAGACTTTATTACGGCTTTTTGTGACATATGCGGCCCCCGATTTTTTGAAATCATTAGATCCGTGCCACATGACAAAGCATTTTGAAATTCCAGCGGAAGTGAGTTGAAATCCGCATTTTTAATCACCGCTTGGAACAAAGGGCAGTTGTATAGTTATAGACTGTCATACAAATTTCTTAAACGACTCGCAACGGTGCAGAAATGATGTGGATTTGCCCTTGGATTTAATCGTAAGGAAGTTGGTGTTGCATTATGGGAAATTTGACGTCACAACGCTGTACGAGAAAGATGGGGAGTAGGCAGTAAAGCGGGCCAAAATTGTTTATTTTTGTTGCTTTCCCCCGAAATATTTACTTATGGAATATATATAAATATCATAGACCACATCGAGATGGCTAAATATCGATGTAGTTACTGCCAGAGTGATATTTCGGGGTACAGAGCGCAGTGTTCTGAATGTGTCGACATTGACCTTTGTTTACAGGTAGGCTGACGTCACAGCTTTATATAGAATTCGCGGACTTTTTCAAAATGTATTGAAAGCAGTGCTAGATGTTTTCAGTATTAATGCTATTTGTCTTGATTTTTTAGTGTTTTTCATGTGGTGCTGAACTGGGTTCTCACAAACGTGATCACAGCTACAAAATCCTGGTAAGTGAAAGTGCTGTCATTAAAAGATTTCACTTTATCATGTTTATCAACTTAATGCATAGGAGATTGCTCTCAAATTCCCATAAAGGTTTATTGAAAAAATTAAGGTTGATTCTCTCATTCAGTTAACCTGTCTTTGTCAAATTAATTACCGGTTAATTGTTATAGAGGTGATTTTTATATTGATTTTTTTTTTGGTTATTTTTTTGTTTTATAACTAAACACTGCCTGTTACAGGATGACAGTCCTGTTGGTGCATTTGACATTGCAAGAGCATGGAGTCTGGCAGAGGAAACCATGCTCTTAGACGCAGTGGAGCAGTACGGATTTGGAAACTGGTATCAGAGAGATTAGAAAATTTAAATCTTTTTCAAAATAAGATAACTAACATCATTCATTCCATATAACTAGTCAAACTTTTATATTTCATTATAACCATAAAAGAAAACAAAAATATTATAGAATAAAAATTACACATACGATATATAGATAGTTTTTCCGATGACATATTTTGCCTGGGAGTTATTCCCCTTTGCCACCATCTTGTAGGGCAAAGCAGTGAATTTTACTCTTTGAGCAACCAATTTTAAACATGAACGCCAGAAATATATGGATGGTAAATATTTATTATCTTAAAATAATGAATTGATAGAGACTTAATCAATCATATATGCATCAAGAAAAATAGTGTTATCTTTACCTCAGTAACCAGCATAATAAATTGAACTTTTATGAATAAAGAAGGAATCTTGGAATGTTGCCCTACAATATGGTGGTCTGGTCTTGGGGGATAAATCTGCTTAAATCTTGCTTAAATCGCCTCAATGGAAAACCATCTGTAGCAAAAAATAAACATAATAAAGGTACTCTTAATTTAATGCCCTGAGAAATGAGGCATGGAATTTTTTAATAACTTTTTAAATACTTCCACATTTCTGTTGTAGGGATGATGTGGCAAGTCATGTAGAATCTCGATCAGCGGAAGGTATGTTATAGATAATATGTTAAATCAAATGAAACGGAATGTGTATGTTTTGCCATTTGAGCTTTGAAAAGTGAAAGGAAGTCTAACTTTTTTATTCGCTTTTCTTTCAGAGTGTCAAGACCATTATGTTACTTTCTACGTCAATGGAAGTATTGGAAAAGGTATTACTGTATAGAGTCTTGTATGGTTATAGTATATATGCATAATTTTTGTTCTGCTTGATGGTCATGTAAAGTGTTGTATATTCTTCTCTCCAGAAAATTAAACAATTTGTTTCCATCATTATTTTTTAAAACTGAAATATTAAAATAGAAGATGTCATCAGAAGTGATCGTTATTGTGTATCACTTACATTGATTTACCTATGATCTTCTTATATGGCAATCTAATCAGAATGGTCCTTGATTTTTCTCTTCAGAAACCATTGTTCTGACCAAAAGCCCTGTCAAAGATCATTCCTGTCCAGAGGGAGGTAAGGGAGATAAATAGTGTTGTCAAATCGGTCGAAACTCAGAATCGATTAATCTGTAGCATAGGTTGACCCTAACCGACTGATCATCGGCCAATAATCGAATCGGTAACCCTTTGCATAAAATAGGCATTACATTTATAAAAATAAGAATTTTATTGTTAAATAATGTAAGTAAAGCCCTTAAGGTAGTTCTATACTCGGCACTAAATGGGCTCAATCTTTAAAAATCTGCTTTTATATGATAGACATACATCCCAGCTATGGATAAACACAAGAAAAATTATATGTTAACATGTTCACTTTTCCGCTATAGCCTATCGGAGTATATACCCCGAAATGTAAAATACTGAAATTTGACCTATCCTAGATTTTGTTGTATATAAATTAATTTAAGTCTAAATATTTAACTTTAATACCCAAAATAGAGTAGATACATGTTATTAAACAATAAAATATCATTGTTTTGCATGAATTATTATAAATAGATGCACTTTGTTAGGATATTGTATCAAACTTTAATGTGAGAAAATATGCTTCCCAGGATAATCTCGGTCATTTAAAAAAAAATTATGGACTCAAACTTCGTAAATTTGCATTATTTTTACTAAATTATATTTAAGAAAAATAATAAGCTTAAAAAAATTATATGTTGACGCATTACTTTTCGTGGTATGAGCTCTACACTAAAGGTACCCCCCTATTTTCTTTCTTCCAGAAGTAATGTATTGCCACATATTTCTGTAATACTGTTAATGTTTGAGTGTATACTTGTATTAACAAGCTTGTACATTATTTAAAACAATAATTATACACACCCAAAACCTATTGTCCCTAAAATTTATCTTATTTTACTCGAAAAAAAAATAAAATAAAACACACTTGTCTTTAAATTGGAGACGATGAAAATGAAATTAATTCACTGATTCTCAGAAACTGGATGATTTTGTTACAGAAAGTAACAAAATATGCTGCAAGTGAATCAACTTTTGTCAAATACTTATTCAAAAGATAATTTTGCATTGGGGTTCGTGGGTAAGCAGGTTGGGGGAGGGGGGGGGGTATGTGTTTTATGCAATTATTATTATTTAAAGTAAATTTTGTAATGTTTGATTAGTAAAATCCATGAATTTTCTAAGTCAAATCGTAGTCATTACTTTTCTTCCGAATTATCACTATTAGCTTCAACTTGGATAGTTTGATACATTCATGTAAGTCATGTTCTGAGGTAGCATGTATATGGTCCGTGTTTTCGACGCGGCATATCAAACATGCATCATTCACAGAAATATCGTTTTATATTACCTAATTATTTCTGTCAACCAAAAGTTGTTCCTAGCCTTTTCTTTTTACTTAATTTATCCTTAAACTGTACAATATGTGTTTGTTGACGCGACCGACTTCGAGCAAAATCGTTACCGGATATTTAAAACGCTAAGTAAAAGTCAAACCAATATAGTTAAAAACTCTCATCTCGGAAAAAGGACGCGCGGTTCCGGTTTTACTATTCGTAAATGACGTAGTGCGAGTATAGAACTACTTTAAGGTGTATTGTACAGATCGAAATTCTAAAAACAGTATATATGCAGTTTGATTAACGATTTCAATAATACAGATTTTTGCATGATTAGGAATTACTTGGCCTGGGAAAAGTAAGCATTGACAGATCAGGTTTTAATTTACATGATCACCTAAAATGTATATGGAATTAATTTTTTAAACTGTTATAAGACATTTATTATTGCAAATTCCTTGTGATTCCATATGAAATGACAGGTGAATTCCCCCAAATACTGAAAATTAATATATTTTATTTAAACAAGTAGTTTAGATTCTTCAGTTTAGAAATAGAAATATCATTATCTTTTGATTATTTTAAACAGATTTTATTATAAGTACATGTATTCTAAAATAGTAAAGGACAACTCTTGAAAGATATATATTTTGATAACAAGAGCCTGTTCTTGAAATGAAAGTGAAAAAACTTTAAAAAAGATATGTGCTGAAATGTACCGATTAATCGATTTTTAAAATCTCAAATCGATTGTCTAAAATCGACAGCCTTTCCGAACGATCATCGATTATAAGTCGATCATCGTGACAACACTAGAGATAAATCCCTCACAGTCTCTTTATCTTCCTCAGATTTATGTCCCCTGTTTGGACATCGATATAATTAATAAACACAAATTATTTAATTAACAGAGATGTCAGTTAGGGGAAGCAGACAATGATTTTCAATGATCAGAATTTAGTGCTTTGAAAGATTTCATAATTGATATAAATTGAAAACAAAAATGATTGGAAACAATTTTAAAATATCCTCTTGTATTTTTCAATTCAAAATTATTGAAATTTTAGATTAATTAGTAAAAATGTCAAGTATTCTTTCAACATACATACATATCATGTCAGCTGTTACGTACTTCTCTTTGTTTTAGGTCCCCTGTCTCCCAGCATCACCATCCCCATCCGACCCAACAAGAATACAGATGTTATAATTTTTGCTGTATTTATGTATATTTATTATAGGTCCCCTGTCTCCCAGCATCACCACCCCCATCCGACCCATTGAACTCAGTGTCCAGGAACAGCATGACCTTGGCTACATGCCATTCAGGGACGATTTTGAAAGGGTAAGGTTTTTTCCCTCTAAATTTCTACTAGACATATGATAGTTTGATGCTCCTTTTAAAACTTAATTTGCAAATAGCATATGTAAGCAGTTTAAGACTTACATGTGTGTCAGTACTGTAGTTTCATACCCAATAGATACAATCTTATGAAAAATGATGTCAAGAAGGCACAATACATGAAGTTATATCTATGACTGCTTTCATTATCCATGGTGTGGGCAGTACATATATTTAGTACATCTAGGAATAGATTTAATTTTGTCTGTTAAAAGTTATATCTTGCATACTTCACACATTTTTCAGAAAGAATATGCTTAAAGTATGACTTTAGCGTTTTAATTGTGTTTGTGTTTTTGTCGCTTAAAAAGGTGGTTGGTATATATTTCAGGAGCACGATAATGAAGCCGAAACTGTGATAAGTAGTCTGGCCAATAATTATGATGACGACGAACTGGATATAGGCAAGTCAAACAGATTTATTTTAATCATATTTTAAGGAAAATCTCAGTAATAATAGCCACAATACTGCTTCTTAAATCTTAATGTTACCAATAATATTCTCTTGGAAACTGCATTGGCTTCTGATAATTGATATTTAAATGTTACTTGTATTTTGTTTTCTCCAGCTGTGAAGCTCGTACAGGTGGACAGATACAGAACCAGGTTAAAAGAACGTGAACGTCGGAAACGAATCGCCAGAGAATATAATCTAATTCAAACTGCAGCATCACTCATCAAACCCAAATCACAAACCCCCAAAAAGCGCACATCTAAAGAAGAAAAGTAAGTTGAGTATATAAATCTTATATGTATTGATTATCCATTAATTATCATTTATACAATGTGAGAGTCGAGAAGTTTCATTTACAGTTTTGATAAAGATATAAAATAGAAAAAAGTAATTGCTGCTAAATAGATTAAGTATTAACTTATTTTGTTCTTTAGTGTTTATCAGAGTAATGTATATATGGATTTCTTTTTTTTTTTCCGGCAGGGAATTCCAGGAAAAAATGAAAGTATTTGCTCAATTCCAGTCCTCATCAGATCACGAACAGTTTCTGGAGAAGTGTCAAGGTTAGAATATTCAACAAGTCTTGAAACTGAGTTTACTACACAAATCCAGACTTTTCGAAGTCCGTCGGTCCTGTCGGCAAGGCCGGTAAAAATTTGTCTGGACCGATAACATTTAAGAAAACGTCGGTCCAGATGACCATTTGAAAAAAAATAAGCGTAATGCAAATTTAATAAAGTTGGGGATCGGGATGCGTAGTTCAAGGTCACAAACACAGAAAAAAAATGGCCGCGTACGCAGCATGTTGACGCTAGCTAAGTAAATTTGTTATAGCGAAGTCATAAAACTTGTCATTTATGTCTATGTGAAAGACTCTCTATCCCAAGAAAGGAAACTTGTTAGATCGAAGGCTATTGAAAACAATAAAGGACATTTTGGTGCTGTTATTCATATGATTTAACCAGCATCAAAATAACGTACAAGTATCTGGTCTGACAAAAGTTTGACTGGTCAGACAAAACATTCGACTTTGTCAAACCAAATGTCTGACAACAATTAAAAAATTTCGACAAGTCTGCACAAATCAAACTTAGACAAGTTTAACTTGAAAGGCCAAGTCATATATTATTTTGAAATTTAAGTGAAATAAGATTTGTATTATTGTGTACTTGGTGAATTATTACTGCTTCAGCTCATTCATTGGAATATTATTCACAGGCAAACTGTACTGTATTTAATGATGTTAATGACAAATTGTACCGTACCTGTATCTGTTGTCATTAATTAATTAATTAATTAACTTATCAGAGGAGAAGGAGCTGAAGTCCAGAATCACAGAGCTGTGGAAATACAGGGAGAACGGGATCACCAAAATGGATGGTACGTAGCTCACTCATCAAGTCTCTATTGTACAGTTACAGACTGGTGTAAATAAGCTGAAACACTTATGTTTAAATTATATGTACAGGGACTGTGTATTACAGTAAAACAAAAGATGAAGCACATAAGTTTGGGTCTCTGAGCTGAATTCTTCAAAATGTGTAGAACTTTTGTTTACCATTGCAGAGGTCGATGATTATGAGGATGAGTTGTACAAGCGAGAGAAGAAAAAAGAGAATAAGAAAAAATTGGTGAGTTCTGGAGTCCTGTAGTTCTATTAAGTCGACAGATTCTCTCTAATCTAGTACAACTAGGTCTCAGTGATAAGTAACAACAGAAAGTTCTTAATGATAAGTTACACAATTACACAAAGCTGTTAGTGATAAGTAACTTGTAACTCTATTCAATTAACTACACAAAGCTCTCAGTGATAAATAATAATTCTATTTATTTAAATACACATAGATTTTAGTTATAAGTTATATCTCTGTTTAATTAATTACACAAAGCTGTTATTGAAAAATGACTGTGATATTAACATGTGAGACCTCTCCCCCTAGGGCAGCTCCTCCCCAGTAAAGAGGGTGTCAATGGTCTCAAAAAAAGCCGCCGGCGGTATAGAGTGAGTAAAATCTTAATGTCAGGTATTACGGTTCACTGCTCCTCTGATAAGGGGAAATAATTCTTACTTAAAGTAAAATTACTATCCAAATGACAATTTTAAAAAATATCAAATTTTGTACATTGATCAGGGTTTTATATTTGATTCTATTTCATTTACAGAGAAAAATTAGATATACTCATCGACGACGAAGGTAAAGAATTTTAATTTTAAAAGTTGATATGTATTAAATAGTATATACACAGATAGAATTTTGATCTTCTAGAGATTTGGGAAATTATACACAGAAAAAAAAAGTTTTCCAGTGGTAGAATGAATAAAACATATACATGAAACTGATATCAATGTTCACTTATGCCTCTTTTATTTCTTTAAAATTTTGAATCTTCAAACAGTTCATGTAATCGCAGTATGATATGAATTAGATATAAACAAATGCATTTCATACATACATGTATCTCAGGGTTAAAAGATGAAGGAGAAGAAAATGAGATGAAGGATATGTCCATACTCCCCAGCTATGGCATGCTGTCGGAGAGAGAGAAGAAGGTAAGGATATGTCTATACTTCCCAGCTATGGCATGCTGTCAGAGAGAGAGAAGAAGGTAAGGATATGTCCATACTCCCCAGCTATGGCATGCTGTCAGAGAGAAAAAGGTAAGGATATGTCTATACTCCCCAGCTATGGCATGCTGTCAGAGAGAGAAAAGAAGGTAATTACTGCTGTATAGAACAGTCTCAATAGATAAAATGTTGTTTAACGTCCCTCTCAATAATTTTTACTCATGGAGATGTCACCACTTGCCGGTGGAGACCTATACTTGGCCTCTACACCTACGGCCAATGAGCAGTGAGGGGTCTTTTCTGTGCCAGCACCTACTTCAACATGGGACCTCGGTTTATACGGTCTCATCTGAAGGAACGGTCTCCACATCTCACAGCAGCCTCAATAGAATATTAATAACATCTATAGAATACAGTTGTGGCTTTAATAAATAAAATGAGGAGTTAAAAGCTTTATATTTTTGTAATATCTTTAATATTGAAGAATTTTACTACATGTACATGTACTGTTTGTTTAAAAAACACAAGTACATAAAAAATTCTTAATTTTAAATCTTTGTTTTTAATTGTAGCTCTGCAATTCCATTGGGATGACCCCAGCAAACTATATGACCATCAAAACTTGTATAATCAAGGTGAGATTAACACTTAAAAGGGGACATTGTCAAATCCCATCATAGATTCCCATGAGCTGCTAGATGATATGTATTGTTAAGATTTCCAGCAAAAATTATACACAGCTGATTCCTTTTAAAGTATTTGATATACCCATAAAATATTGCTATTAGTCTCTGAAGTTATTGAAAGTCATGATGATGAAATGTGCCATGAATCTATGCAAAATATTTGTAGGACTACCTACAGAGACGGCAGGGTATCCCAGTCAAGATCCGCTATCCTAGCGGGCTGGACAAGACCCACCGACGGAAAATCATGAGCTTCCTGACGGACAATGGCTGGATAATGGCTGTCTGAAGGACGTGACAAGGGAGAGATAAACAGAGGAGGGGCCAGAGGAAGAAGGCTGGTCTTCATGGAGCAGGGAATTACAGGAGAGAGGGACCGTGTGATGGTGGGCGGGGCTGTGAGAGGCGGGGCACCACACCAGCAGACAGACAGACAAAGTGATTGAAGGTCGAGAGTTTGGATTCCTAAGTAAAGGAAATGATTCGCAATCATTTTTTTAAAAAAAATGTATAAAACTGGTTATGCTTATGTTGAACAGAGAGCACTTGAAACGTTTATGTTTTGTGGTTTGTTAAAGCATTGTCTTTAGTTTTGGTTTTGTATTTGAGGTAAAATGCAACTAGAAGTTGTAAAAAATAGTTATTAAAGGTGATGAGAGATTGTGATGTACACACTTGTACATGTATGCACTGCCATGGAACACTCAAAGTTCTTTGTACATAGATATTACCACCTGTTTTCTTCTAATCATTTTTTCCGTCCAGGAAACTTGATGTTAATTTTTTGCTTCTTAATGTTTATATTCTGTGTTAGGCACTCAGATATTCCATTGATTACTGTACATGAATTATGTATAAAGTGGAATAAGGAGTCATTTTATCGCAACTTCAGTACTGACTTATGGTGCATAAAATTCAAGTTCATAACTGATGAATGAATTCCCATAGAATTGATGGAACAACCAACAAAGATTCATTTTAATTTTCTCCAAAGGTGTCAAGTTCTAAACACTTCAACTATTGTACATTCAGTATTCATATTAACATAATTAATCATTAATTAAGGTCTGAGTTCACTGTTAGTACTCAAGGTGAGATTGTGTCCGTGTTTTATTATTATTGTACGACTCGTACAGATTTTTATCTCTGTATAAAAGGTTTTATATGGTGTGTGTTTTTTTTATTAGTTAATTGTGTAATTTATTTTGTATGGAATTGTATGATTGATTGATTGATGTAAAAATTTGTGAGGTTTCACCAGGAAGTCTGAAGCGTGGAATTTCATTTAATGAGATTTATTTCTGTTCATAATGAACGTAAGCTTTAATTTAACTATTAAAAATACAAAAGAAATTCTGTTGTGTTTTTAATGCATTTTGGAACAGCATTTTTGCAAATTACAAATGGTGATGGGTCATGAAGTACAACAGTCTGTTGGATGAATTCTAAGAAACAGAAAACGGAAATACAGAAAACATACATGATCAAACTTGACAGATTGATTAATTTTTGAAGAGACATGTATGTGTTTTATACTAGGCCAAAGTCATCAAGTAATTCTCAGAATACTGGACCTGTCTTGTTATTGCTGAATCTTGATTTCCCAGAACCTTCATGTGTGCATTTTTCATTCAGAAGTTTAGTTTTTAGGAGCTTCACCAGGAAATTTGACAATAAATCTTTCTGAGCGTTTGTCAGGGAATTAAGGCTAAATGTGCAAAGTAACTATTTCATGTCACAGTTAATGTCAAACGACAGGCTATTAGCGTTGACACAGGACTTGGCCTATGGATCCATTATGTTATTTCATGTTCAAAGTAATCATGCATTCCTCTGCATGAATACAGTGTTTTCCACTGACTTACGTTAGCCAGATATATATACTGTCACATAAAAATTATCCTACAGCACTAAGTACAGCTTTTTTTTTTTTATTAATACTGTTTAAATTAAAATTTAGAGGTCCGTTTGCGCAGGGCCAGTGTATAATAACCAGGTTTGATGGAACACTGTACTATGTAGATGTAGACGGCTGAAGAATGGAAATAAGCCGGTCATACTTTACAGACTATATAGTAGAATATCTAAATGTTCAAAATGTGAATTAAAGCAACTTTCTAAAGGAATATTACATTCAGATATGTCTGCTATTCTTATTAAAATGTAACTGAAACTAGAAACTTAGCAAATATAAGTCAAAGGGTGGCTAATTATACAAAAGTATTTAGAGAACCGTTATAGAATCTATCCGGAATTATGTAGGATGTTCGGAAAAATCTTACTTTTACACAGACCGGAAATACGTTCTGGAGTGGAGTGACCGTCTGATTTGTCAACAATGAGACCCAGATAACAAATTCTAGGATGTGATTTCTTACTAATCGTGAATTAGATACTAAAAACAATGTCTGTATGCTGATATGTAGTTTTAAAAGTGCAATGAACATTAGTTATGACGCTTGAACCGGCGTCCATCGGCTCACATCGTCACGGACTGGCGACCCCTTGGAAAAACTGTCAATATTGCTCTCTTCATTTTAAGTCCCCGCGGGAATTTTCTCGGCACCTGAGGGAATCCCATTGTTCTAAGGAGGGAGGGTCCTACGTGTGTAGGTATGGGCCTAACAATATATGCCCCTCGCTGCCTCTGGAAGGTGTCAGTGACATGGATTATGAAAACCACATAGCACGGGACCATGTCCAGGCCCCGGGGAGAAAGAGATCGGGTCAGTATTGGTCACTGTCAGGGAGAAAGAGATCGGGTCAGTATTGGTCAATGTCAGGGAGAAAGAAATCGGGTCAGTATCGGTCAATGTAAGGGAGAAAGAGATCGAGTCAGTATTGGTCAATATCTGCAGGGAGAAAGAGATCGGGTCAGTATTGGTCACTGTCAGGGAGAAAGAGATCGGGTCAGTATCGGTCACTGTCAGGGAGAAAGAGATCGGGTCAGTATTGGCCAATGTCAGGGAGAAAGAGATCAGGTCAGTATCGGTCAATGTCAGGGAGAAAGAGATCGGGTCAGTATTGGTCAATGTCAGGGAGAAAGAGATCGGGTCAGTATTGGTCACTGTCAGGGAGAAAGAGATCGGGTCAGTATTAGTCAATGTCAGGGAGAAAGAGATCGGGTCAGTATCGGTCACTGTCAGGGAGAAAGAGATCGGGTCAGTATTGGTCAATGTCAGGGAGAAAGAGATCGGGTCAGTATTGGTCAATGTCAGGGAGAAAGAGATCGGGTCAGTATCAGTCAATGTCAGGGAGAAAGAGATTGAGTCAGTATAAGTCGATGTCAGATGAGCTTGATTAGGCTATTATGTAGAAATCCAATTGGTGAATAAATGAAGCCGCTTCCTTTTAGAGCCATATATGGCGTAACTAATCAAAAAAAAATTTTTTTGAAAAATACAAAATTAAGTAAAGAAATATAGTTAATACATTTATATTGAAACTTTTCATACAATTCTGAACACGGAGAACACCTCGTTTCATCTAATAATATGATTTTATCTTCTCTGTAATGTGTTATTTAAATCTTTTGTATTTTCTTCTGAGTCGGAGAAAATTCTGAGAACCCAAATTAAATTGTGATATCTTTATAATGCAATTGACTTATATTTTGTAATTTACGGAAAAGTTCTATCTTATTATAAAGTAAAGATACAATTGTCTAAATTTAAGAACAATAAAGAATTGCATTACCAGTGCACAGGAGTAGACTGAATCTGATTGAATATCATTTCAAATGCAGATTTTGTATTTAATTTTGTAGAGACCCAGGAGGACCAGTGTTTTGTTGTGTCACCTCCAGGGACGATTCCGTCAGTTGTGCACGACCAGCACAGATGGACCGTGTTTGATTCCAAGGTCAACCTTCCGGCGGCCCTGAATGACCCCCTCAGGGTCAAGAGGGAGACCGACTTCTTCACCAAAACATGGGGCCAGGAATTCTATGAAAAGATGTATGTCCCAGAGTCCAGATATCTTCCAGAAATTGACAGGAGATTTTTTGAAAAATATAAGCATAGAATTTCAAAGGTAGGGAAATTTGTTTGGTTTTCTTCTCCCGACTGACTTAAATTGGCATACACAACACTTTTTTTTAACCTCATGGAAGCAATTATTTCTGTTATACACTCTGGAAAAATAGATTTTTAAAAATTATGCATCATTTATGTTGAAATTTTCTGAGAAACAAAATTTTCTCACCTTCTTACCATGCTTACCAACCTTAATACATGGAAATAAACAATTTAACGGTAGTTTTTATTTGCAGAGATATAGAAGGTATGCTAGATATAAACATCAAATTGACCAAGAAGCCCCAGGGGGAGAATCATTTCTTCAACAAATGGGTGAGTCAGAGTTGATGAATGATCTCTTCAACAAAGTGTTTAAATTTATAATTTCTTCAACAAACATACATTAGGGGGAGTTTATAATTTCTTCAACAATTAGGCAATTTTAGCATTTTTTCAACAATTGAATGAGTTTAGGATTTCATTAAAAATTATGATTCCATTTTCATATCTAGGGCTGTCACGGTTAACCGAAAACTCGGTTAACCGCTCTGAAATGGCATTCGGTTCGGTTCGAGTCAGGTATTCCAGAATTCGGTTCGGTTTTTTTTTTATCTTTTATATAATACTAATTTGCTTGCAACACGCGTTCACGCGTTGTGATTGGTTGTTTATTTCAATGCAGGGTTCTTTAACCAATGAAAATACAGGTAACATCGAAGACATTTGGCATACACATGTGGAAGGAAAACCAAATCACAAGTGCGGGAATACTTCACGTTTTTGAAAGTAGGGGAATCTTGACATGAACAATAATTGAATGTATCAATTCAGTTGAAACAAGATGAACTCTAGTCATTAGCCCAATTTTGAACAGTGCTATTGATTTGTGAAAATTCAGTATTTCTTTTAAGTAGATTATTGAAATGACCAATAATTGAATGTTTCAATTGTTTGAAACAAGATCACTCTTGTCAATAACTATATTTATTTTATTTCATTTTAAACAAGAAGTTTATTACTTTTTATTTTTTGTTACATGTAACAACTTGTTCTGTTGAATAAAATGGATAGAAATTTGTGTCAGCAAAATAGTACTTTCTACAATGTCCTTAATCCTTATTATCCTTTGATATATATAAAGTTGTTTTACTTAAATTCTCAAAATGAAAACCGAACCGAAAAAACCGAAAACCGAGAATTTATTTTCTGAACCGAACCGAACCGAAAAATGTCTGAACCGTGGCAGCCCTATTCATATCATATACCTAATATATTTAAGCTCATTAAAGTCAAAGATCAGTTTTGATTTTCTTATCAAAGTTTATTTTCTAGTCCTTTGTTAATCGGGTTGTTAATTTAGCTGTCCATATATGTCTTTCATAACATGTATAATATTTCAGTTTATTTCTTGAATATATTGTGATATAAATATGGAGTGATACATGTACATAAACCTGAATATACATACGTATGTGAAAGTGATATTAAGTATGTTTTTTTTCTGTAGAAAAAAACAGAGCAGAACTCCAACAATTGCCGAAGGTAAACAACTAATGCTGTAAATCAGCTGTTACCCTACTGTAAACTTGTAAATGACATTATGCTGTAAATCAGTTACTTTTCTTCAGTAAACTTGTAAAGGACCCCCTCCCCTCAAACTGTGCTGGCCATTAGTATAGATGTTATGTTTTATTGTCCTAACATATTTTGTCCCCTTTAGTTGTTCGTGCTGTCAAACTTTGACCTGTATTGGTGTATTTAATATTTTATTGTTCTGTCATGTTTTGTAGTTGTTCATGCTGTCGAACTTTGACCTGGAGAACTCGGACACATTCAATGCTGTGTTTCCGTGGTCACAAGTAGAGGAGTGCAAGAAAAATGGAGGATCATCCCAGTCCTCAAAACTTCTACAAGAGAAGGTTAAAACAAACAAACAAACAGTGCTCTTAATCATGTTAAGCTGTACAGCAATATTAATATTGTGTCAAGTTACAGATTCTTCAATCTTTAGTTGTCAATTCACCTTTACAGCAAATTACATGCTTCGATTTCTTATATGTATAAAAATCAGGAAGTCTGTTTGAATTCCATTAAAATAAACAACATTGGGTAATAATGTCTATTTTTTGGACACATTTCCTGAAAAAAAACATGAAGTAAATTGTGTACCAGTATTCTTTTGAATAAGAATCTCTTTTATTCTCCCTTTGATTTGTTAATCACGGTAATTTGTTAGTTTGTTTTTTATGGTAAAGTTACATCTTTTTTCTCCAGTTGAGATTATTGTTTATGGTAAAGTAACTTATTTTTTCTCCAGTTGAGTCATTACCTGGATGT